GAGAGAGAGAGAGAATCTATTTTATATAAAATAATGTAGTGATCTATGAATTACTGTTATATTCTTTATATACAATTTTATTTTTACTATACACATGCTCAGTGTCTTATATATGATGTAGAATGTGTAACATTAACAATCATACATAATATATGACATAATTTAATATATCATATATGATATATCAAATTGTACATCAATGTCACATATCCACTGCATCTTTGGCAACCTCACATGACCTTAAGTCCGTCCAACCTCACCTGACCTTTTCTTGACCTCCCGGAAACCGAATTTCGAAGGCATTCTCCAACTGACTAGGACATTGCCTTTTCTCAGCTAACACCCCAGTTGCTCACTGCACGGAGCGTACGCACACGAGGACCGCTACGGAGGGCGGTTCCTTGGGAGGCACGACTAGCTTCACCTGACAGCTAGTCGTGATGTCACTGACTTTCCTCACAAGGAATCTGTGGCATTCCTCGGGGACTTCAGCGGTGCACTGCGACGGCCGTAGGGTTAATGAGGGACGCGTTGAGCAGAGCATCAACGTTCGGCAAGTCGCATGTGGAAAAAAAAAACAGTAGCAACTCGAGGAGGTGTCATGGTTTCTGATTCCATTTTGGGGAAAAAAAACATGTTATTTATTTTCATGACGGCATAAGAGGATGCTTTGTGAATATGGTCGATAATTTTGGTTTCTTCAATTTTCAAATGGAAATTAATGATATTAATGGTTGTATTTTCACTGAACAAGTATCAAAACAGACGCCATGATACCTCGAGTTGCTACTGATCTAGCCTTTCCCAGTCGCATATTTCCCGCGCTTTCACCAATGCTCTCTGGAATTATTACGTAATGTTTACCGGTTGTGTAATAAATATGAACGTGCGTTGCTGCTTATTATTTACTTGGATTGGAAGCCCAATAAATGTTCATTCGTTATCTAGTGAATATAGGCGTGGCATGATGATTTGCTTTGGTGGGGATTGCAGATTAAAGCAAGACTGAAATATAATAGTTACGCATGTAAACAAATGGATTCGCAGAAAACGAACGCCATATGAACGATAACTATGTTAACTATGCTGTGGGTCTCCATGTTATTTTCCCAATGCTTAGCAAAAACAAAAATGAAACAATATATATATATACAGACACACACAGCACACACACACACACGCACACACACACACACACACACACACACACACACACCACACACACACACACACACACACACACACACACACACACACACACACACACACACAACACACACACACACACACACACACATATATATATATATATATATATATATATATATTATTATATATATATTTAACAGCCATACCTTATACTAATCTTCTATTCCGTATTATCATTTCTATCATTACAGTCATTATCGTAATTAGTATCGTTATTATTTATCTTTATCATAATAACTATTATTGTCTTTATTATCATTATTATCTTTATTATCACCATTACTATCATTATTATTATCACTATCATTATTAACATTATATAATTGTTATTTCTGGTTTTGTTCCTCTAATAATCATGATCATTACCTTGATGATGGTAATTATAGTATTCACAAATTAGTCATGATGATAATTACATTGATGATAACGGCGGAAGTGACAGTAATAATGTTAACATTTCCCAATATTATCACTATCATAATCATTATGGTCAACGTCCATGAATACAGAAGACAATAAGAATAAAGATTATGATAATGAGAGTGATGATAACTATGGTATTGATGACGATGGTGGTAATATTATTTTCATTTGTGTCATAGATTATAATGTTAATAATCATAATTAGATTTGACGGTAAAGATATTGACAATGATAATCACAATGATGCTAATAATAATACTAATAACAACAGCGATACTATGATTGATGATGATGATGCTAACAATTTCAAAACTGATATCCGAGGGAACAGACAAGAACAAAATAATAATAGCAACAAAAACGCAAGATACACATTGCATGACACGGCTTTCTCAACATTCGAATGAGCTGACGAGCATGCAGTGGTTGCATGACTGTGCTCCTGTACCTTCTCGCAGACGAAGCAACCTGCTTATCAATTCTATATTTCGCCTTATGTTGCAAAGCCTTGTTTGCTGTTGGGCGTGTCATGCTGTCACGCAAGTAGCAACACACACACAGTGTTGGTTTTTATTTTTTTTTTCTTTTTTATGATTCATATTTCCGGAGTTTCTGAGTTCCTGATGACATATGTATTAAATATCATGGTATCAATAATCAGTGATATTAATAATGATGATAATAATGATACCAAGGATGATGATAATGATGATGATAATGATAATGATGATAATGATGATGAATGATGATAATGATGATAATGATGATAATGATGATGATGATGATAATGATGATAATGATGATGATAATGATAATGATGATAATGATGATGATAATGATAATGATGATAATGATGATAATGATGATAATGATGATGATAATGATGATAATGATAATGATAATGATGATAATGATAATGACAATAATGATAATGATAATGATGATAACGATATTAAAGATGAAAATAAAGATAATAAAGATAGGAACGATAATGATAGTAATAAAGACAAGGATAATGATAATGAAAAAAATTGTAAAATCATACACATAGTAATAATGATAAAGACAGTGATAATGAAAAGATGGTAATAATGATAAAGACGGTAATAGATTGTAATAAATGATAAGCAATAACGATAAACATAGTAACAATGACACAGATAGTAATACTAATAAAGGTAGTAAAGGAATTAAGGACAAATATAGTGATAGGAATAAGGATAAAGACAGTAATAGAAATGATGATAAAGATAGTGATAGAAATAATGATAAAGACAGTAATAGAAATAATGATGAGGATAGTAATAGAAATAATGATAAAGATAATAAAAGAAATAATGATATAGTAATAGAAATAATGATGAAGATAGTGATAGAAATGATGATAAAGATAATAAAAGAAATAATGATAAAGACAGTAACAGAAATAGTGATAAAGATAGTAATAGAAATAATGATAAAGATAATAATAAAAATAATAGTAAGTAATAAAGACATCGATAATGAGGCTAGTAACAATGATGAAATTAATAATACTGTTTAACATAATCATACCGATCAAAATGATATTGATCAAGATACTATCTAAGATGATGATAATGATTTAGGTATTAATATTGAATAAGATAATAATATCGATTAAGATGATACTGACAAAGTTAATAATATTATCAATTACATGAACAGCACTACTACTACTATCAAAATACCAAATATCAGTAATAAACAATAATCATTATTACCAACAAAACAAGAAAGCACGATATACACATGAAAAATAAATAAATAAAGATGAATCCTTTTAATAAAACTAAAATGAAATACAGTCCTTCAACTACCACGCTTTAAGGACATGAGCTAGCACTGTGAAACTCATGACGCTGTATTCAGTCAGAGTATTTAAGAAGGTGCAGGAGAGGGAATGAAACTTTGGTCGAGAAGGGCGTCTAGGCAGTGGGTTTCTACTCGGCGTCGACGGTAAGAAGGTGAAAAGTTCTATGTATGTTAGGTATTGCATTAATTTT